CGAAGCATTATTATAGTTAATTATATTTGTCGTAAGACATTAGTGTTAGGCCTATTATATTTTATAACACTGCATTCTTCATCTAGTCTCACAAGGATTTTCAAGAATTAAAATAGTGTATAATAATAGTAGTTCAACCACACCGTGTTTGCCATATTCATTGGCGACGACTCGTTTCTCTCAATGCAATGATAAAAAACTATAATAGGCCTAATTCTAATGTTTTATGATAATTGTAATTAATTATAATCTAATCAAAATCATCTTAGGTGTGAAAAAAGGTGCGGCCAGAAAAGGATTGGGTGTTTGACCTAAAGGAATGAAATCAAAATTGGTGGCCAAACTGGTAGCTACACTTATAGGATTGATAAAAATTTTATGGCAAATATTCATTCATTAGTCAGCCAGGCCGCGTTTTTTGTTCAACTTAGGGCATGATGGTGAGTGAAACAAAATAATGTCCGGATAACAAAAGCAGAAGTAGCAACTGTTATGATTTCAAACAGATTAAGCTGGCGAAGTGTAACTAGGATTAAGTTTATATGACTCGGAGTTAAGGTAAGATTTAATAATACAATGTTATCTATTTATATCAGTATTCGTGTAAATACAATTAATTGAAAGACATGCTTATCCATAGTGTTCTGGGAGAGCTATACTTCACAAGCCCCGGATTTTTCATATTTCTCTAATCGTGATTTATCTAATTTTCTTTGGTGCTTTTCATGTCTTGTGGACTAATTGACGGGAATATATTTAAAAACAATTGTCGGTGAATTATCTATTCCTATTCCATAAATTCCAGTACAGTATATATATAAAAAAAGGATTACATACATGTGTATGTGTGTGGCAGACATAAATATTGTTGCTTCGTTTGTTTTGTTTCGTTTTAGAGCAAAGCCACATTGGGCTGTCTGCTGTGTCCACCGCGAGGAATCGAATCCCGGATTTTAGCGCTGCAAGCCCGTAGACTTACCGCTGTCCCACAGGGGAACAAATATTGTTTTAACAGTACCCATCAGTTTAACGGTCATGCAGATCACTATATTACTATATCACTATATTACTATATCACTATAAAGTATAATTACATATGGTTTCGTTTTCAACATCATAAAAATTTACACCACCTTGGGAACCACTTTCTTTTTATTTCATATTGCTGTGGGCCTCTTTTAAAACTAGATTCATGAACTGTGTATTGCGATGAACGTCTCTGACACTTTAAGTATTCTGTTACGTCTCCGTTTGTTAATTAACTTTCAGTAACTTCGTTCCGACGAAACTTTAGCGACACAAATTCTTTACTTAATAAAACTGGTTTATTCTTTCCGAATACAACTTTACCGATACACTCAACTTCAACAATCGCGCTAACCAAACGCTATAACAACGAACGTGCTCAATAATACTTCTGACTGCAGATCAATTACTCACTATCTACACACACATTACATTCCCCTCTTTTATATACCAGCCTACCCTATCTAGCAAGTACTAGAGCATTCGCCAAGATACGGAATAGTTCT